GCTCAGGAAGAGCGTCGCCGGAGCTGATTTTCATTGTTTCAATCGACGCCTGGTGATTATCGCCTAATTCAGATTCTGATTCGGCAGCAGAAGATGAATTCTCCAAATGTTGGGTCTGATTCTGATTTGATTGTTGAGGTAAACGAACAAAGAGCTTCACTTTCTTTTGTTTCCTTTCATCCTCATCTTCGTCTTCTTTTTCCGACTCAAAATTAGAATTCCGGCGACAAGAATGACGACCAACACAAGGCTCGTTATTACTAATGATTTCCCTTTTTCTGAGATCTGCTAAAGATGGTCTCCCTTTCTTCTTCTTCTTCCCCTTCGTATCCATGGCTATGGCTATGGCTACTGTTTCTCTTCTTGTTTTTGTTACTTTACCCATAAAACAATTTCTTCTTACTACTTTTTTTCTCTCTCTATACTAACTTTTGTTTGTTTTGTTATTTAAAATTAAAATATATATTTTTTTTTTTGAAGGTAACGCGTGAATCAGGCGTTACATTAATATGACAAAACTTATGTTACGCTATTTAAAAATTTTGATACTATATTTTCAGTATTTCATATCTAAAATATTACATATTATACTAGTTTAGTATTATTTAGTACATTTAATTTCAATTTTAATATTTTACGATGTAATATTTGTTATATATTATACCATTCACACCTTTACTCACGAGTCACGCGTGTTATAACTCGTGACTCCTCATAGTGTTTTGTTTATTTGTTTACCAATTCAATTTTTAAAACGACACGTAATTTTGTATGTGAGGTCAGAAGATAGAGTGTATGTAAATTTTATTTATATTTTGGATATAAAAACGTTAATTTTTATAGATCGTAGAACTAAAAAATGCTATGTATTTTAAAGTAATTGAAGAAAAAAGAACAAATTGTGACAAAATATAAGTCATGTTAATATATAAAAATACCATCTCGGCTATGCATTAACAAAAATTATAGATGATTAAAGATAAGAACTTACACGATCAATATCACAATTACTATTATATTTATTATAAGAATCTACATTTGATTTGGAAGAAACAAAACAAAAAATTGGAAATTTTAGGATATTCCTATTAATTATGTTAAACATTCATTTGCTCATAATGAAAAGTATAATTATGATAATGTATTTTTTATATCCGATATATAAAATGTTATATCATTATCGTATTATATTAGCTCGGTGTTGTTTGACATATTTAATTTTGATTTTAGTATTTTACGATGTAGTATTCAATAATCATAATTTGTTTGATTTTGCAAAATGATATTCGGTATATATCATACTATGCTCACCCCTACTCACGAGTCATGTGTGTTATAACTCGTGACTCCTCGTGATGCTTTGTTTATTTATTTTTTCTTTTTACCAACTCTTTTGAAAAACAAAACGCATTATCTTGTATGTGGAGCCGGAATATAGAGTGTACATAAATTTACTTTTATTTCGAATATAAAAACGTTGTTTTTGATAGATTATTGATTTATAAAATATTATATCTTTTAAAGTAAGTTGGAAAAAAAATGAAAATGAAGAAATTGTGACAAAATAGAAATCATGTAAATATATAAAAGTACCATCTCGACTATGCATTAACAAAAATTATAAATCTTCAAGACATTTAAAGATAAGAAATTACATGATGAATATCACGATTTCTGCTTACTATTATTTATTATAAGAATTTATTTTTGATTCTGAAGAAACAAAACAAAAAATTGAAAATTTTTAAATATTCCTATTAATTATGTTAAACATTCATATGCTTATAGGAGTGAAAGGTATGTACTTACAAATATAGAGATGAAGTACATATTTTTTAGAGGTAGAAAATGAAAAATCACATTAGCTAAAACGAGGGAAATGTTTTTAATGTGTATATTAAATAATATGACAATTTATTTCTATAGTATGATTTAAAGCGTGTGTTTTGAAGTTGAAATATGTGAATAGGATTAGATGAATGTGTGGTTATAAAAATAAAATTAAAAATAATCACATTAATTAGGAAAAGATGACTTCTGGGCCATTTTCATTCATAATATTTCAAATTAGTATTGGGCTGAAAATCATCTCAGCCCAAACAAAAATGATACTACTTGCAAGTGGGTTTTTCTAAAAGAATTATGGATAGGCCCATTACACTATTGAGTTTGGCTGATTTATCGAAAAATGATTTTGAATAGGGCAACTTTCACATATAGCAAACAAAAAAATTATATTTGTATGCTATAGCAAAGTTTGCATAATTGCGCTCCATAGCAAACATAAAACTGTATAATTCGCTGCCCTGAATTGTATAATTCACTGGCCTATTTCGCTGCAATTGTATAATTTGTCTTGCATACAGTTGAATCGAATTAAAATGTATGTATATATCATAATTATAAGTGTATAGCAAGAATATATATGTTTTTCTCTCTTTATACAAAAACTGAAACACAATATATACACTTCTATTGTATAAAGCTAGAGAAAATTGTATTTCACTGCAATTGTATAATTCGCAATTGTATAATTCGTTAGCCTTTTTCTCTGCAATATTTGAAGTCAAATGTTTGTAAATTGTATAATTAAGTGTATAACACTAAGATATACATTTTTGCATGTGTATATACAATTTTCTCTCACTTTATACAAAAACAGAAACATAATTATACACTTCTGTGTATAAAGCGAAAGAGGCGAGCGAGAATGGAGAGTGGCGAGCGAGATTTTTGGGAGATAGACGCTGGCAAATTTTAGCTAATATTTGCTATGGAGCACAATTAAATCAACCTAACTATTCCATTTAATTTATGTTATTAGTTTGTTATTATAACAATTTACCCTTTTGAAGATACAAGTGATTTTAAATTTGGAAAAATTAGTAGTCAAAATCAATAACTTAATTAGTACAAAACTCAATATTTTAAAAATATTAGTTAAAATGTCAAAAATGTCATTATTTTGGAAAAAAAAATATGTTTTATTAAACTTATTATTTCAAACTTTTAACTTTGAAGATTTATCTATAAGACAAGTAAAGGTAAAAAGTTATACGTTTGATGATATTTGTAATGTGACTTCATTATTGATAGAAGCTGTGGATAGTACTACTACTTTTTCACTTAGCTTCTTTTCAACCAATTTGTCAGCTATTCATTAATCTGGCATAAAAATTAGAAAGTATTTCCTCTGTTTCAAAATTTAAAATCAAACAAAATTCTACTAAGATATTTTTATACTTTTTAGATTGATATTTATTGTAACTTATAGTATTATTTTCACTGATTTTTATGAGCCTGTTTGGCTCAGCTTAAAAGCTGGTCAAATTGACTTAAAAGCTGGTTTTTAACTTATTTAGCTGTTTGGCAATACTCAAAACAACTTATTTTAAGTTTAAAAAAATTTATTTTAAGCCAAAAGTTAAAAACTGGGATAGGAGTGCTTTTTTATTTTTAGCTTATAAACTGTTTTAAGTTGACCACATTTTTATCTTTTTGTGCTTAATATTTTTATACAATCTCCAAATTATCCATATAACCCTAACATTTCTTTTTTCCATTTATCCCTTTTCACGTTTGACATAATAATTTCAGCACTTTTATCCAAACACATAACTGCTTATTTTAAAAATAAGTTTCAACACTTTTAAAAGTACTTTTTTAAAGCTGCTTTTATTAAGCCCATCCAAACGGGCCCTAATTTCATAATTTTGTTCGAATTTTATTAATTAACATTTATTAAATTTTAAATCACAAATTTATACATCGACTAAAAAAATAAAAATTGAATCACAAATACCACCTTGAACTAGGAACCAATCGTGGTGTTGTGATCTTTTTGGCCATATATGTAAAACTAGGTGCACAAAATAATTAACAAATTTTATTTCATTTATTATATTATAATCGAAATTCTTTTACTTTATATAAAAATTTGAATTTAAATTTTGAGTAGGAAAAATATTATATTGAAAGCATCATTGAAAAAAATGATCCATAAAATTTTATTCGTATAACTTAATTACATAAAAATAATTTATCGTTGATTAAAGTTTGCCAACAATAAAATATTGAATAGTATTATCTAGTAGACAAAATAAGCAGTTTAAAACTTATCCAAATTGCTCTATGGAAAAACTCATTATTTTTCTAATTAAATTCATATATATCCAGTGGGAAGAAAAAAAAAGTCAAATACAATTTTAAGAAATAACAATTGTTAATTATTTTGCGCACAAAGTATTTGGTAAAAAGTAAATCATAGCTAGAACAAGAACAAAACTCAAGTTATTTTAAATATACTTTAGTAATTAATTATTGTGCCGTCCTATTCTTAGAATACTCAAGTAATTTAACGTAGTGGTGAAAATTTGATAAATTAATTATATACTAATTTTTCAGTCTTATTTTATGTGGTATATTTAATTGGAGATGAAATTTAAAAAATAAAGACGTTGAAATATTTATCAAATTACATTTTTAAAAAAGTGAATTCAATTTTTTCTCTCCTCATAAATGTATTAGAGTATTATTTTTAAAATTAAATAGAACTAACAATGATAAAAAATAAATTGTATCTTTAAATATTTACCATATAAAAAATGTGACACTCTTTTTTAAACTGACTAAAATAGAAAATAATGTCATATATATAAAATAAAATGAAAAAAGTAAATATCAATTTAAAACTTTAGGACAATAGCTACTTTGAATTACGTAGATTTCAATAAAATTGCAACATATATAATAAACATACTAATTTACAATTTTTAAAATAATATGACTAAAAGTCTAAAAAACAATATATACCGCCGTCACCTAGTTACTTTAATTTGTGTAGCTTCTAGTACATACATACTGGTAGAAATAGGTAGCTCAATTTTAAATTTATCTGAATTTAATATTTTAATTGTATTAAATTTATAAAATTTAAATTGACGTAATAGAATGAAGAGAGTAGTACTATATAAACCATGTGAGTACTAACATGATCTTCATCTTATTCTTGTTTTTATTTATAGAAACAATAAAATAGTTATAAAATTAATCAATCATGTGTATAGTAGTGTTTATTTGGGAAGCAGATAGTAGATATTCATTAGTGTTATTATTGAATAGAGATGAATATCATAATAGGCCAACAAAGGAAGTTCATTGGTGGGAAGATGGAGAAATTGTTGGTGGCAAAGATGAAGTTGGTGGTGGCACTTGGTTGGCTTCTTCAACTAATGGTAAATTGGCTTTTCTTACTAATGTTTTGGAAATTCATACACTTCCTCATGCCAAAACTAGAGGTGATCTACCCGTTCGATTTTTACAGGTACGATTAAATTCTTTATATATTATACGTTAATATGTTTGATCTTTCATTTTGGTTTTGTTATACGAAGGACGAGACCTAGAGGTCTTTAAGACAAAACATAAATATGCATCATAGTCATAAACTTTCAATAAATATTCAATTTTGAATATGCGCTTTCAAAGGTATTACAAGTTGAGTACTAAAGGAATTGAGTTTATCAAGATTAAATTTTGAATTTGATTCTTTTGATCATGATTAATAGTAATGTTAAATCTTGTCCTTATTGGAGTATATATATGATCAATAAATCAAGATTTTAAATTGTAGTATAATCTTAATTTTAAAGAATATTAATATTGTAAAATTTTAGATTTAACAAACACAAAAATCATATTTGTATGTTATAACTATAGTTTGTATAGTTGCGCTCAATATGTTTGTTGCGGCTGTTAATATGTATATTTCGGTTTACATATACAAAAGAATCAATTGCATAATTTGTTTCGATATACATATTAACATATACAAAAGAATTTATTGTGTAATATATCTTTGTATAAAGCAAGAAAGAGCGAAACACAACAGAAAACTGGATAGGGAAATATTTATATTTTGTATAGTTATAAGTGTATATGACGGAAATATACGTAATTATTTTTTATACATGATTTTCTCTCGCTTTTATGCAAACACAAACACAATTTATACATTTGTTTTTGTGTAAAGTGAGAGTGGCGAGCGAGATTCTATAGAGAGAGAACCAAATGAAAATATATGTATTATATGCAGTTTTCTGTAGTTTTATACAAATACAAACACAATTTATACATTTATTTTTGTGTATGAGAGAGGCGAGTGAGATTCTCTGGGGAGGAAAATATATGTATATATACAGTTTTGTTTCGCTATAAACAAACAGAACACATTTTATACATTTGTATTTGTATAAAACAAGAGAGACGAGGGAGAAACTGCTCAACGAGAAATTCAGGAAGAGAGGTGAATGACAACTATTTGTTACGAGTTGCAAGTAAATCAAACTGCGACTATAACATTTAGTTTGAATTAATAATTTGTTATTTTAAACGATTTTCCGTAAAATTTAATTGTTAATTGCAGAGCAACAAAAGCCCAATGGAGTTTGCAAAAGGGCTGGTGAATGAAGGGAATGAATACAATGGGTTTAATTTAATTTTGGCAGATATTGAAAGTAAAAAAATGGTATATGTAACAAATAGGCCCAAAGGAGAGCCCATAACAATACAAGAAGTCCAACCAGGTATTCATGTGCTGTCCAATGCAAAACTGGACTCTCCTTGGCCCAAGGTAAGAATTCTAATGGGCTTTTTTCGATCGATATACATAAATTATACAAATGATATGCTTTTGGTTGTTCATTTCAGGCTCAAAGACTGAAGTTAAATTTTAAGAAAATGATGGATGTTTACGAAGTGAATGACGAGAAAATCTGCGTCAAAGATATGATAGAAAAATTGATGAGAGATACCACTAAAGCTGATAAAAGTAAATTGCCTTGTATTTGTTCTACGGATTGGGAGTTGGAACTTAGCTCTATTTTCGTCGAAGTTGACACTCCACTGGTAATTCATACCGCGTTATAACTAATATGTTTGTTTGATTTTAACGTACTCAAACGATGATAAAGGTTAAAGTAGATATACAAACATTTTAAAAATAATTGAAATAGTTCAATAATAGAAGTGTACATATCATTAACATAGTTTGATGGGTTTTTTTGGTGGTGTGAATATGTAGGGGTGTTATGGTACTAGAAGTACAACAGCATTGACGATTGAAGTGGGAGGAAAAGTAAGCTTTTATGAGTTGTACCTTGAGAACAACATGTGGAAAGAGCAAATTGTCAACTATCGGATTGAAAAACTCCAAATGCAATAAATGTTTTTCATATGTTGACATATCTAATGTTTTCATTTTTTTTTTAATTCAAATAAGATTTTTTCTTCAAAAAATTAAACTTTTTGTCTTTGAATGGAAATTGTTATTCATTGTATTTGTAAAATGTACTACACTACTTGGAAGACATAATGTATGTTTCGGGCTCCTTTGTTTTAGCAACAATTTTAGACTTTCAAATTTGAGGGGTCTCATTTATTTTAGCAATAATAAATAATTTTTTCGTATGAAGAATATTAGGTATGATTTGCCAAAAATGGAATTATATTAAGAGAAAAAAATATTAGAAGGTATTTGATATACCTAGAGTAGTACGTCGCAAGAAAGAATAAATGTATTAGTTAGGTAAATTATTAATTGAAAAAACCTTATTAAAAAAATCTGAATATAGAAATATATAGTTTTATATCGATTTGATCTCAGATCAATTGGGCGGTTGAATCGCTACTGACCATTGCACGTAAGATAAAGATATAAAATATTATAATTGATTTTGCTAGTTTGCTTAATAAGAATGGTAATTTCAGTTGAAAGAATAAAAAAAAAATGCTTTGTGTTTTTTTGTGAAAAACTAAATTTTGATTTTTTTTTTACAGAAATGGCCCGGGTGGGGGTGGGACGTAAAAAATGAAAAAAATGCATTCAACAAAATGCATCTTGTAAATCATATAGGAGTATATAGATAGGAAATCTAAACTTATCATCGCGATTTATAAATTGCATCAAAAATATAATTTATAATAAATCACATTCAGTTATAACATGCATGTTCGAATTGTGACCTCTTGATCACTAAACAGTTTAATCTAAACTATATATTATATTAAAAACATCTAAATAAATTTAATTTGACTAAGTTCCTATTGCTCCAAATTAAGCCACTAGACCTAACAAAAACTCCATAACTTCCTTTGGCTCACGTAAAGAGTACAACGCCTTGGTGTCTTTTGGAGCAGCAGTAACAACAATTGGAAAACCTTGTCCTCTTTTCAGCAATACCTACAAATTTTTAAATACGTATATTTTATTTTCTAAATAATAATACGTAGAAATTTAAATATTTTTATGCAAAATCGAAGATAGAATTTACCTTGAAAGCGTCTTCATCAGTTCGATCATCCCCAATGTATATCGGGAAAACATCATCAGAATTTCCAAATCCAAGATTCTCTAAGAAATATTCCAATGCATGACCTTTGTTCCACACAATATTTGGTCCTATCTCAAACACCTATATTGATTGAAAAAAATATGTTTTGTTTATTCTTGTTAATTTAACATAAGGTTTGATTAAACAGGAAAAGTCACATAAATATGTTTGAAAAGATTTACCTTTATTCCTGTTGATACACGAAAGTTTGGGTGTTCTTTTAAGACACCAGAGATGATATTTTCAACAGTATCAAAGTCCTGAAATATTTAGAGTTTATAGTTAACAAATAAGACAGAATAAAGACATTCAAGATTTTAATATACATGTATAAGATCCCCGTTAGACCTAAGACGAATTTAGTATTTAAACTTATTTGTTTCAACATGAAAATTATCAGTTGAAATTTTAATATTTATTTTAAAAAATCACATGCAAATACAGGTTTATGGAGGAAAAAAATATACCTTGGTGTGAACATGTCTGTAGTGTACAGAAATGCAGAATTTGTTGTCTTCAATATTTACTCCTTTGATACCGTTGGTTCTCTCCCCCAACAGATTAAGAATCTAATAATTGAAAAATTAATTAGGGAATAATGCAATCATTATTTCACTTCGAAAAAGGAAAAAAGACTTTTAATATCTCTAAGTTTAACTTACATAATTAGCTCTCCACTCAATTCAAAATATTGAACATATATTGTACCTTCTGTTTTTCGGGCAAAAACTCTATCGCAGGTTGATAGAAAACAACTTTGTTAACCTGAAATTGCCAACAACGAATAATAAAAATGAATTAACGACTTTGAAGTATCACATAATATATAGACACAAAATCAATTAAAATTCATTAAAGAAAAAACCAACCTTTTCATGTGAATTTGTTGAATCCAAAGGAGCTTCAATATCAAGCCCATGACTTCCAGCATAATAAACATTTTTCAATTGTACAAAATCTTGTACCTAAAATCACACACACAAATAATAAAAAAAAAAGTAAGTAGGATTAATCACATCTAATTATAATTAAGACTTATTAAATTATTAATTGTATTTGTATGCATGATTAATTAAAGTAAATAAAATATATACAAACCCTTTCACGTTTTCGTCCACTGATAATAGCTGTAGGAAATCGATTAGCAACTTCACCTAGCACCATTCTCATCTGCAATTTATGTTAAACTCTCAATTAATTCCATAATTACTATATATATATACACACACACTATAGAGAACGTTGACTCTGTTTGGTTATATAAATCCTCACTAATCATATATATAAATATATATAAGTTACATGGAGAAGACTTTATTGTTATTCTGAAATTTTAAAATAAAGAAAACCTAGTACTATAAATATATCCACACTCTTTTCTCTTCTTTTTTTTTCTCCATATAATGCATTTTAATTAACTAATGCACACTTCCTCTTTTACCTAATTTAAAATGTCTTGATTTGACTAAAAATGAATATTAAGAGGAGAGTTAAAAATCTTCCTATTATAACTATAGCAAGATGGTCAAAATGTGGAGAATTAGTATGAGATCATGCAAATTTTGAATTTACTTTAAGAATTATAAAAAAGTATATTATCCCTTTTAACTTGGCTAGTTGTAAGGGTTTTTAAAAAATAAATAAATAAGAAATGTGAATACACTTGTGAGAGAATTAAATTTAGAAAAAAAGACAAGTAAATTATTAAAATTGAGAGAATTTTAATAATTAAATAAATACCTTGTCAGTCATGAAAGCTTCTTCAGGGTTGGGCACAATATCAGACAAAGTGCCATCATAATCCAAGAATATTACTATTTTTTTCCCTTTTGCTATTTTCATCATTTCTTCAAATTTTTCCAATGCACAAGGATGCTCCACCTGATCAAATTAATTTGCTACAAAATTCATATTCAATTAAACAAAAAAGTATTCACATCTTTACCTTATGATTAAAAAAGTACTATTGAAAAAAAAAAACTTACCAGCCAAGAAGCATATTCAATTGAAATATCATTTCTATCTTCGATCGATGAGAATCTTGTCAATCCCATGACTTCAATCAATTGAAAATAAAATAATATTAACATCAGCATATATATATATATATATATATATATATATATATATATATATATATATATATATATTATT